CGCGCCGGCCTCTCGGAGCGCAGGGGCGGTTAATTGGAATGAGGAGGGAGGAGGGGGGCCATGGCAGCCCACCGCAGGGGCCAATCGAAGGCCTAGAAAGCCCTATATGCAAATATGAGGGCCGGGCGGACCCCAAAGTAGGAAGAGCGCGGGTTGGGGTTAGGGGTTGTCTGGCAGCCAATGGGAGCGTGTCCCAACCCTTCGAGGAGGGGGTCCTCAAGCGTGCTTGCGAGCGACCAGGGCCCGCACCGCCCGGGCGAGACGGGGGAGTAGGAATCGTGGGTAAGAGCTCCCCAAAGCCGGCGCTGGCCCTCGATCGCGGCCCCCCAGGGCCTCCCCAATGAAGACCCACACGCCCCCGGTGTCCCCACGGGGCTCATTCCCCCAGGGCTGTTCCTCGGCCCTCCCTGCTGGCGTTCCAAGGCCACAGCCTCTCACCCCGACGGCCCCTGCGCCCGTGGGCTCCGCAGCCTCTCTCTTCTCAGTTGGCCTCAGTAACGCCCACTCTCTCCCCGGCCCTGGACTCGAATTTACCGCTAAAATACCCTCATTCCCTTTTCTCATCCTCAAGGCCCCGATGCCAGGACCTTGCCCACAAACCGACCCTTCTTGTCCCAGCTCCACACACCCTTCTGTGCTCACATCTCTCCGGGGGCACCCTCACTTGCTGCCCTCCCTCGATTTCCCAAACCCCTGCCCCCAGGGAGCTGTCCCTTCCATACCAGGGATTCCTGGGAATCGCACCACCCTCTCCGCCCCCCTCTTTCCCCATCGTGACACCCTCTCTTGATCACCTGTCTTCCTTTTTCTGGCGACACCTTCCAGAAACACACCTGTGGTTTTCATGGCCAGCACAGCCCTCTGCAACTGCTTCCTTCCCCCTCTTTCTCTCTCACTTCCATTTGTTATTTCTCACCCTCCTAAAGGAAAGTTCTTCTTGAGGAAAGATCTCGTTTGGGGTTTGAATCCTAGGAAAAATGTAACTTATCTGTGGGGATGTGCTAACATTTACTAAGCGCTGGTATGTGGCAGGCACTTTTAATATGTTCACCAGTCCTACCATCATATTTTTATTTTACCATATAGCCCTTATTTTGGACCATGCACTGCTTTAAAAAAATACTAACTTATCTTTAAAACAACCCCATAGGATGAATATTATCCTCATTTTACTTATGAAGAAACTGAGGTATACGAGGCTCAGTTTCTCACCCATAGTCACCCTCCTAGTAAGTGGCAGAGGTAGGTTGCATCCAGATCCGTCTGTCTTTGCTAGTAATCCACTGAGTACTGTGGAGAAAATGGCTGGGCATGAGCTTGCTCTGAAAACTACACCCTCCACTCTTGTGAAATTCCTTAATTTTTAGCAGAATAAAAGATGGTATTTGAGTCAGCACGATTCTCATTGTTCCCAGTGAATGTGGCCGGTCATTCTCAGCACTTTTAAAAAATTAATTCATTTATTTAAAAATTATAGTTGACATACACTCTTATATTAGTTTCAGGTGTACAATATAGTGATTCGACATTTATATACCTTACAAAGTGATCATCATGATACGTCTAATGCCCATCTGCCACCACACAAAGTTGTTATGATATTATTGATTATATTTTCTATGCTATACGTTAGTCTCAGCACTTCGTCTTGGCAAAAATTCAAAGGGTGGCTAGAATGAAAAGCCAAAAGGCCATAAAAGGCATCTTATTTGATCCTGCCTCCATCAACGCTCAAAGCACTTTTCTAGATAGGAAGTTTTTAACCTTCTTGGTGATCCTGTAATCACAGAGAAGATAGGGAATGAGAGAGGAGATAATTATAGTAGTCCCCCCATTTTCTGTGGGGGATATACTCCAAGATTCCCCAGTGGATGCCTGAAACCACAGATAGTACCAAACCCTATATGTACTGTTTTTTTCCCCCTATACCTACATACCTGTGATAAAGTTTAATTTATAAATTAGGTGCAGTAAGAGATAAACAACAACTAATAATAAAACAGAGTAATTATAACAATATACTATCATAAAAGTTATGTGAATGTGGTCTCTCAAAATATCTTATTGTACTGTACTCACCCTTCTTGTGATGATGTGAGATGATACAAAGCCTAGGTGATAAGATGAAGTGAGGTGCGTGATGTAGGCATTGTGACGTAGCATTAGACTACTACTGGCCTTTTGACGATTCCTCAGAAAGAGGATCATTGAGCAATGACAATGTTGATGGGTGGGTGTCGGGAGCAGATGATGTTGATAGTTGGGGAAATGTAATAGTATTTTCAAATCTCAGTTGACTTTGGAAAGCAAAACCGTGAATAATGGGGGACCTATGTACTTGGCTTCTTAGGGTAAACAGTGTCAAAGAGGCAAATCTGAGAGCAAGTCTGTAAGCAGACCTCTTACCTCCACATCTCCCCCTCACCCCAATCCACGTCAGCCTTTTCCAACAGCTAGCCACTGGAAGCCAAGGGAGGGATGCTTCTAGTAGAGGAATGAGGACCAAAAGATGCAAAGGGGAGGGGGGAAAGGAACACCTATTATTTGGGGGAAGAGAAGGCAGTCACAGGCAGACACAGTAGGAGGGCTCTTCAGTGCTACATATTTCTGCAGACTGAAAGAAAAGTCTGGGCTCTGAAGGTCAGGATGAAAAGATTTGGCTAAAACTTGAAACATGTTCCCCTATTGTTCTTTTTTAAAAAAACCCATATATTTTTAGAGAGAGAGAGAGAGAGAGAGAGAGAGAGAGAGAGAGAGAGAGACATCACCGATGAGAATCACTGATTGGCTGCCTCCTGCATGCCCCCCACTGGGAACCGAGCCCGCAACACTACCCGGGCATGTGCCCTGACAGGAATCGAACCCTGATCTCCTGGTTCATAGGTCGATGCTCAACCACCGAGCCACCCCAGCCGGGCTCCCCTATTGTTCTTTTTTAAAAAAATATATTTTATTAATTGTTTACAGAGAGGAAGGGAGAGGGATAGAGAGTTGGAAACATTGATGAGAGAGTAACCTCGATCAGCTGTGCCCGCAACCAAGGTACATGCCCTTGACTGGAATCAAACCTGGGTCCCTTCAGTCTGCAGGCTGACGCTCTATCCACTGAACCAAACCGGTCAGGGCATCCCTATTGTTCTTAATCAAATGATCCTTTCCTGCCATTTACAGGACACTGTATTAATTCAGCCTTGCAAAAGAAAGCACTAAACATTATTCTACCCCTTTGCACCACCTCTAGGGGCAAGAAGA